GGGGCACAGTAATACTCAGCAACATCCGTAGGATTTAATTGCTTGTAGAGGAATCCAATGTGAAAAGCAATATTGTCTGCTAGTAAAAACAATGGTTAATTCTGTGCAAACATGCATATTATACTTGTGTTGAAATATTTCAACTTATTATTTTAGTTAAAAACCCTTTTCCCAATAAGTGGTTCTTTTATCAATGAGAACTTTGCGCTTGACCTAAAGCTCAAGAGTGGACATGAAAAGAGGCTGTAAAGTTCTTGCTTGTTTTAGAACATGTTAGATATCATGTTAAACAAATGTTTACTGCATACTAAGTTCTTTCARACCTAATTAAATACATTTAATATTGGTTTAGGAGGAGAACATTTTTTTTTAAGTTTTCTGGTAAATGTTCTTTTTTTAACTTTTAGAGCATGAAGCAGAACAGCCTCAATTTTCAGATGTTCCTCAGCCAAAACAAGATCCTAAATCAAAACAAAAATCAGTGAGTACAGTTCAAGTAAAAATACATAAGACTGGATTGAAAAGATTTTAAACAACTAAACTTGAAAATTAGGTACCCACAGGGTAGATTCATTMATAGAATGCAAATGAAACTATTATTTTGCAAACAACTTCTTTGGTCCGACAAATGTAATACTCTAAAAAATTGCTTGTATTTAAAGCAAYSTGGSTAATGCTATCCTAAATGAGATGGCSAGYTGTGTTTGAGCTGTGCCTCTTGCTGCCTTTTGGCTGTTCCATGGGCAGGGCTGGCATCCCCTGTGGGTGCTGTGAAACAGAGCCAGGGCTGAGGCACACACAGAGCAGTGAGGACTCAGGAGGAGCTCAGTGCCACATGGGATGGGTGACGGAGATGTGGGATGGGTGATGGAGATGTGGGATCAGTGACAGAGATGTGGGATGGGTGATGGAAATGTGGGATGGGTGACGGAGATGTGGGATGGGTGATGGAGATGTGGGATGGGTGACGGAGATGTGGGATGGGTGATGGAGATGTGGGATGGGTGACGGAGATGTGGGATGGGTGATGGAAATGTGGGATGGGTGACGGAGATGTGGGATGGGTGATGGAGATGTGGGATGGGTGATGGAGATGTGGGATGGGTGACGGAGATGTGGGATGGGTGATGGAGATGTGGGATGGGTGATGGAGATGTGGGGTGGGTGACAGAGATGTGGGATGGGTGATGGAGATGTGGGATGGGTGATGGAGATGTGGGATGGGATGGGTGATATGGGATGGGTGATGGAGATGATGTGGGATCAGTGACAGAGATGTGGGCACTGGAATCAGGGTAATCAAACACCCTCAAAGCTGTGGTCAGTGCCCCAGTTGTTTCAAGTGTGGTGGTCTCATCCCACCGCCTGCTTTTCAATCGCTCCAGTCCAACTGTTCAGATGAGACAGTTCCCATAACACGTTTTCATAGCAAACTCTAATGTGGTGCATTCCATTTCTAAATAATTACTATGTCTTACAAGGGATAAAATATTTGAAAGTTGTGGTATCTCACCATATTGTCCCAAAAGGAGTCATGTACCTGCTGTTAGGTTTGGATTATTTTACTGTGCTGGAAACTGCACAAGTTTTGAAAGTGTAATTATATGTTTTCAAATATTCAGAAAATACATAAATGATGCAATATTTGAATCAGAAATTACAATCCCATATTTTTAACGGACCTTATAATTTTCCTTCTGGATTGGTTTGTATCTTTGTCTGGTCTGTTGGGGTGTTAGAAGGGATGTGTTTATTTTGAACAGGTGCCTTTGGAAGCAGGAATATTGCACCCGTCACCCATGGAACAGTTTGATTTTGCCCCTGCAGCTGATCCTGGTGCCCAATATGTGCTTCCTGTGCTTGGGGAGGTGCCCCCTGGAGAACCCCCTGATCCAAAAACTTGTGAGTAGGAGTCTGTTATCTTGAACACTGCTGGGATTGGTTTTCTTGCATATGACAGGATTTGTTATTTAGAGTGTTAACAGCTCCAACACCTTTTCTTGTGTGGGATTTGCATGGTTAGGCCTGGTCTGAAAGCAGGGAACCAGCTTGGCCACTTGGTCCATGGAAGAAATCTCAAATTGTGCTTTACAAACCAGTAGCACTGACTAGCTAAGGTAGTTCTGTTCTCTTCTGAATAAATGACTTTTTCTTTAGCCACAGAAATCAGAAAGGGCAGCCATTTCTTCCTTTAAATTAATTATGCAAAACTAGGATCAATAGACTAAAYAGACAATTGAATTTGAAAACTGCTGTCAAAGTACTTTTTACCCATATGATTTGAAATTAGAGTGGAAACAGTTTTCAAGTTTTGTTCTTCTGCTTTTATCAGGTTCTATAGTTTATAATAAATTTACCAAGCAGCAATGTGTTTCTATTATGCATTTTAACCCTTCATTTTGTCTTCTGTTGATTCTTGCTCATTAGGAGTTCCTGGTGCTAGWCAGAAGCAGTGTTACCCTTGGCTTTTATATAAATAATGTCCTYCCAGTTATGACCTTTTTCTGGCAGTTATGAACCAATTAAAGGTAGAAAGCTGAGAATAAATTCGGTGTTTCAGCTGTGTTTCCAGAGGAGAACATTCCTATGACTTAATTTTACTGATCACACCAAACTCTGAATATTTCCAGAATGGAGAGAAGTCCCAACCCATCAGCCCTCTGAAAGGGAAATCATTTGGTATATGGAGTCAGGTTCAAATTTYTGAAGAATCTGGCAAGTATGAAGCAATTATGACAAAGAAATCACAGCACCACTAAAATAGAACCTTTTGTTGTTCCTTTGTCTAGAAATTGAGCTTTGTGACTGCCTCTGCTCATGCAGATTGTGAAGGGCACGAGACACCAGAGTGGTCAGTTCAGCACAGGCTGATTCCTTCCTGTCAGGGTRAATGAGTCCACAGAGCTTTGCACTCCTGTGACTGAACTGCTCCTGGTGTCTGAGTTTGTTCACTGAAAATCAAATGTGCCATGGCTGAGGCTCGCTGCTGGTGTACCTTTGGAATTGGCTGCAGTTTGTGTTTCGTGGCTGAGGAGAAGTGAACACAGAGCAGGGGCTGTATCTAAACTGAATCAATCTGTGATGATGCTGGGAAAGTGTCTGGCTCTGGCTTTATGTGTTGTAAATACAATCTCCTGTTTGTGTCTTTGTGAAATCAAATGAAGGTGTCCTGTTTTGCTCAGGTTCTCCTCGACAATATTTAGAGTTTTACATATTCCCTGTGCTCTTACCTGGACTGGCTGCCCTGCTGCATGAAGTAGAGAAGGAGAAGTGTTTTGAGGTCAGTTTGTAGTTTTCATTTCAAATCACTGGCACCAAGTTACAACCTTTTACTTCAYAGACAGTTKTTTTTTTTWATTGWTTTTTTGCAAGAAAACCAACACAATAATATGACATGTCCTGGGTTGGTTTGGGTATGGGGAGTCTTCCATCATTTCTGCTACTTTCCCCAASCATGGCAATTTTGGTTTATAAACACATCTGCAGCTTAACAATACACATTGTACAGCTMTTTCCTGTTTTCTATCCTGATTCACGCAGCATAGGAGCAATGTGTCAAAGACAGGTCAATTTATGTAATTTWTTCCCTTTATAAATGTTGACTGCTGTGCAACTAATGATTTAATTCWCTAGCAAAATAAACTGTTTCCTGGCAAAGAAATAACAAAAAAAAAATCAGCTTGATTGAATTCGTCTCTGCTAAGTTCAGTGCCTCTAACAAGGATAAAACAAGATGAATTTGATCCTTTGGTGATGGCTGTTTTGACAACTCTGTTCTGATAGTTKTTTCCCATTGCAAAGGAAAAGCAATTTACTTAAAACAGAGTAAATTACAACTGCTAGATTAAACTGAATGTTGTTGTCAAAGTGTAGAATTGGTTCTCTGGAATGGTTCACTCAGAAATGGGAGGCAGTTTCAGGCTGTGGTTGGGAATGGCTGTGCAGTGACACTCAGACTCTGCTTTTGCTCACATTTAACATCTCAAGTGATCCATGGAAAGCTCTGTGTATTCACAGCATCCTCAAGCTGCTTTCATGCAGGAGAAACAATATCCCATCAATGTTCCTTCTATGTCTTGGAAGAAATGAAGTCTTTATTTAACAGAACTTTAAACAACATGGCAAGGCATTTACAACACATTTTCATGTATAAATGAGTTCTGTTAATTTTTTCACAATAGAATTTCCAGTTAGAGAGAGCACCATTGAGAGATATTGGTTCTAAATGCACTCTAACATGTATCAAGATGATATATGTGAATTTTCTGACTCATAGTTTGTCTTGAAACCATTCCACAAATTTTCTAAAATTTTGGCTGAGCCACTGACCATTGGCAGTAGCAATAATAAAGTAGACAAAGTAATGTACTGTATATTTTATTTAATAGAAGCAGTCAATTTAGCTTAAACATATGACTAGTCCAAAGACAATAAATAATTTGAAACTATCTTCTATCTTTAGGGAAAAAGAACCAAATTTATTGCCTCTGATTTCCTAACTGAGTGGTTATACAAGTAAGTTAATCATGTTTTTTGCTACTAAGTACGTTCAATGATTCAAAGATATTAATTTGCAAATTGAATAGCTGAAATTTAAATTAATATGAGTTGTTTTCCTTTTTCTTTAGCAAGAACCCAAAGAAGAAAGATGAGTCATTCACAGAATTGTTTTCCATTCCTTTTGTTAAGGACTGGCTAAAGGACCAGTAAGTTATTGCAGTACTCAGAGTAACCTTTTCTCCTTTTGTTCTTTTGCCCTGCTATCCCAAAAAAGTAATGGAACTTCAATGTTTTGCAACTGTGCCCTCAAAATGCCCTTTACTGTGTGCAGCAAAGAACTATGAGATGCTTGCTAGCTTGCCAGGGTATTACTTACAAGATACTTTGTACTGGAATTGTTCACAGAGAAATGAATGTGGAATTCCTAAACATTTTAATTGTGGAATGCAGGACATTTGAATAGTCAGAACTATTGTGAATATCTTCATACTAAGGAGTGAAGCAGTGTTTTCAGTGCTGCTTCCTACTGTGGAAATCTTTGAGGGTATAGTCAAGAAATCCTGCTCTGCTGTAAGCAGCAGCTTTCAGAATGCCTCTAACAACCCTTGGCAGGATGCATTTCTGCAGCCATTTGTGACTCTGAGAAATGAACACTTGTTTTGGCAGCACAGTCATATAGTCCTTGTTATTTTTGTAGAACCAAGCAGCACAATAGTTTTGAAGGAAATGTTACTGTCCTTGAGACTGCATTTGGTTTAAAATATAGCAGCTGTGTGAGGAAAGTAGAGGAGGAGTTCACAGTGAGAGAATAAGAAAACTACAGAGGTCAGATTTTAAAGAAAATTTTCAATTTGAAAATGTAATTGGAATCTGGATTGATAATTGGTGAAAACACAGAGATTAATATCTTTGTACAAATGCTTACTTTATTACACAATGTAAGTGGAAATTGAGCATTTTTTGAATTCTTGATATGTGATGCTTGGAACCCGGAGACCCAATGGAGCAAGAGGAAAGCTCCCTGRGTGTCCCAGGTCTGTGGGGACAAGCTGCACTTGTGTCAAAAGGTTCCCTTTGTCTCTCTGAGAGCTGGCCCGAGCTGTGCAGGGAGTTTCTGCAGTGCAGGACACCTTTGGGGAATGACCATTGAATCTCCAATTCCACGTTTTCAGTGACTGTGCTGTGCTGCTGCTGCTGTTCAAACCTGCCCTGGGTGGGACATGGCTTTGATTCTGTCACACACAGCTCTCCCAACGAGATCCCCACCTCAGGCTGGGATTTTGTGCTTTGCAGAGTGAGAGGAACTGCAGCATTGATTTGTACTCGTTCCCTAAGCCCTTGGTCAGTGATGCAGTTTTGATTCCGTGGATTTGGGAGGATGGATGTTTGTACCAAAGATAAAATYCCCTCAGATCAAAGTTTTACAAACATTTCTCTTGGAGGTAAAGCTGGTAAAAATGGTCCCCTCCTCCTTCACCCCARTATCACCTTGTCTGTTTGGTTGGGTGTTTGATTATTCTGATCAGGGACCTACTCTGAGCTGGGAATCTCTGCCAAAATGTGTGAGGAGGGTTTCTATAGGCATTGAAAACACAGTAATTCCTCCAGTCTGCTTCACCTGGCAAAACCTGTGTATTGGCACCAGCAAGAGATTAAACTGCAGGGCTGAGGAAGGTGAAYTAAAGAAATGAGCTGCTGAGATATTGAGGTGGTGCAGGAAGTGCTGCAGTCAGCTTTGCCAAGGAGAGAAATGCACTGTGGAATCACAGCCTGAGTGACTCACAGCTTCTGTTTGTGCTGCTGCYCCTAAATAATGTGGTGACAGCACCACAAGGACACTGGAGTGTCACAGTCCTGCCTAGGTGATACACTCAATCTCAAATCCTCTGAAGAAGGAGGCCCTTAAAATAATAATTGTTAATTATTAATAATTAAAAGCATTATTAAATGACAGCTTTTAGTGAACGTATCTTAAAATCACAGATTTAACAAGTAAACATTATTGGAGCAAATGAGATATTGCAATATTAAATAAGAATAAAAATAAGATAATTTATTATTATGTCCTTCTGGATATGTCATAAATAGTTTATTATTATATCCTCCCAGGTATCACAYTTAAAACGTAATTGGTTCTATGCTTTTTTGTGTCATTTTCATTTCTATTTTTGAAGGAGTTTAAGAAACAGTATGCTAAAATGTGCTGGTCAAATTTGATGGGGAACACCCTTATCCTAACTGTGCTGAGGGGTTTATCAGTGCCAAGCAGTCCTAATGCTTAAGAAAAAAGCCAACAAAAACTACCAAAAAAACCAAGAAAAAAAGACCAAAAAAACAAAACCCCAAAAAAACCCCCAGAGAAATATTGTTTTTGTTCTATCAGAGATCCAGCATTTTTTAATATATTCCATACTTGAGTATGACTTTTTTGGCTCTCCTCCAGTGCCTCCAGTTTCTTCTTTGAAGCTCARTTTTTTTTTAAGAATAGCCAAAGCCTCAGTCTTAGGAGCTCCACTCTGTACAATGTGTTTCTAAATGAGATCTTGCAGCCTACTTTTCCCTTATTAGGACACCCAAATGCTGCATCAGTTTTCAGAATTTTAAATGCAAACCTTGYACCTTCAAAACCTGGTTATTGTAAGCAAAGGATGTAAAATTGTAAAATTGTAAAATTGGAATTTGTTTCCAGCTTTAGTGCACTGATTGTTATGATATCTCAGTGCAGGTGCCTTCCCTTCCACTGAGTTGTGTGTTTTATTTGCAGCACTGACACAAAATTCCATCCCTTGGGAACCCCAGTTCCTGGAGCAGATTGCAAAGGCAGTGGAGGAGCAGTGCTGACTGTGATCTGATCTCCCATCMCATCCCAGACATTTCTGCTGCCTTACAGGACAGCTCTACCCTTCAGAGGGTGCAAATCTGAATTTGGGCACAAAATCAGCCCCCTTGGTTGGGCACTTGCTGAGATACAAAGTGAAGTTCCTGTCCCTCCATCCCAGGCTGCTGCTATAACCCAGTAAGGAAATAGAGCTGGGGATGGTTTGTAATCCTATAAATATGCTAATGAGCACCAGAGTGGCCTTTGGTCAGCATTTTGCAGTGGTGTTTCTGGTTGAACAGCCCCAAACTCAATTGCATGTAACCAAGCTCTGGGTGCTGAGTCGGGGCCAGGCAAAGGCAGCAAAATCTGATCCTTCTGAAATTTGACTTTTSTGTCATAGACACTCTGAGTAACATGGCAGCATCATCTCCTGACCTTCTTTAGCATAGTAATGAAAGAAATATGAATGAACCAATAAAAAACTGTTTCCCTGCTCTGACAAACACAGATACCATACAGTCATGTAAATTTAATAATATAAAGCCTTGTTCAGCCTTCCCTGGGCCCTCACTCCAATGACAGACAGTGTTATATGCATCTCTGTCAGGTAGCACAAGTATTTTCCTGGCGCTTGAAAGATTTGTTTAATCTGCATTTGCTCCTTTTTTATGGAAGATATTTTCTTGCTGCTCAGTTCAGGAGACATTTCCTGGTTTGATCTGTCTGTGTGTACCAATGCAGACACAGAGAAAATAAATTTATCATGGCTTTGGTGAAGTGGGCAGCTAAGATATACGTGTCTAKGAATGATTACTAAATTTGGAGTAGTGGCTTTTTGCCAAATATCTGTATACACATATATATATACATTGATTATTTTTTTCTTCCTCCCCCAGTATTTTAATGAGGTGAAGCCTGCTGGTCTCAGCTGCCTTTACAGTTGACTTCATTGTCACTTCTCAGATGGCCAATAGGGCTCATTTTGCACGGGTGACTGATTTTTTTCCTTTCCATAATATGCCCAGTTTCTACAGGCTGTGCTTTCTGCACACTGYTATATTGCATTGGTTTGTGTTTCAACCTGCCATGCTTGGACTGTGCTCGATTTGCCTTATATTTTATTCTTTAATTTTCTTCAATAATTTGAGCTTTAAATAACATTTTATTGTAATTACAGGAAAGCCCAACAAATGCATCTCTATGGATATTATTCTATGTTTTTCCAGGCAAAAAATTGCCGTTCAAGTAATGGGGCAGAATTCAAGTTAACAAAGGAGATTTTTTTTCTACTTAAAAACTGTGTGTTGAAAAACTGCAGAAATTTTCTGTATGAAATATTTGTTAATTAATATTTCTGTATGAACTATTTATTAATTATTTTGCAATGGTGCTTTATGGGGGTGAAGGTTTGATGGCTGCAATACCTGAGGCATTTAAAAATGCCTTAATTTATRTGAAGGTTATCAAAATGGCAGTGAGAAAACTGAAAACTTATTAGTGCTTTGTGGCATTTTCCTGCTGTGGCTGTTAGAGCAYTAAGGGGAGTTTCTCATGTTTTCAGCATGCACAGTCTGACCTAAAGTACACAAAGATAGATGGAAATTTTCCCCTTGACACGAGTGGCCTTTGGAACAGGTCCATGTTTGGTTTCCTTCAGCCCAAGACCACAAACACTCTCACAGACTCCATAAATATTGGTCCTACAGAAACAAAGCTGAGGCCACGCTTTGTGACTCCAAAATACGGCCAAGAATGGGAGCAGAGGAGAGCTGAGTGTAAAAATGGGCACGTCCTGCCCAGGACAGAGCTGCTGAGAGCCCCACAAATCTTATTGTTTGAGTAAGACWTTATTGTAGTGTATATAACAATGTATTTGCAATGGAGATCTTCTCTGTGCATTTTGTTTTCAGAGCCATAGACACTGTGTCTTTCAGGCTCCTGAACAATATTTCTCTTTGGTAAAATATACTGTTAGGGAAGAAATGTTTTACATTTATAGGCTGTCAGTTTAAAACCAGTGGTTTTTTTAAGTCCTAGACCACCAGTTCCTCTGTCTCTAATTCTCTCAGAAGAAGAAGCAAGCCTCCTGATTCAGTCCTTCTGGAGAGGTTATCGGGTAAGAGTAATCTGGAATTGTTTTGCTTGATGTTGAAAACTGTAGRACTGTGAAGGCCCCAGGGAAAATCCTTACATAAATTTTAAGTAGGGGATACTATAAATAGCTGCTGAGACCCCTATGGTTCATTGGCTTTGGATGTTGCTCTGCCTTATGCCCAGTGACTACAGTTTTTTCACAGACATTTATGCTGATGTAATCTCCCTGTTTTCCTCAACTAAAAATCCACAGAAATTCAATTTTCCAAAGTAAAATTAAGCCTGAACAATGGACAGTGAGAATCTCTGACTGTCAGGTGTTCTTTAAACACCAATCAGTATAAAACACTCTCTGTTGAGTTCTCCACTGTTTTGAACCAGCAGGAATAGATAAATGCTCCTATAATGTGCTSTGCAGCCAAAGGTGATGAAATACCTGGGAATGTTCTTATTGACTGATGGATTTTGTGACCCTTTTGCTGGTTGGTTCTCCTTTATTTTCCTTTTTTAAACAGCTTCAGCAGTGACACTGATGAGCACTGACAGATCCCTGCAGGCATCCTTTACAYGAGGCAGTTTTTATCCAATGTCAGCTCTGGCTCTGAACACTGCAATGGTGCTCACATTTCTTGTGCTTCTCTGAAAGAGGTGAAGGGCACAGTCCTGCCTTGTGTAGAGRAACTGCAGAATTCTCACACTGCTGTTTATCATCCTAAACCACTTCCCAGAAATGAGAGGGAAACTCTAGCTGTAAAAGGGAGGAGACATAAAAATAATTCAGGCTATAAAATTAGCTTTTAATGCTTTACCTTATTCGAGATGAGAGAACGTGGAGTTTTAAAAATCAAAAATTGCAGTCAGAATAAAAAATAAAAAATCATTAGTAACAAATCATGACATAGGGCAATGTGTTATCCTTGGGCTGGCAGATTAGGTGAACACTAAGTTTAATGGGATTTCATCACATTTATGGTAAGTATGTTATGAAAATTTACCAAAGAATTCAGATCATTTGCTTTTAAAATAAATAGTTCTGTCAGCTAACACTGATTTCATGTTAATAAGGGACAATAACTGAACACTTGCAAATAATGAGTTTTTCATCTAAGGATATTATGTCAAAATTTTAAACTCTTTTCTGGGGTTTTTCATTAAACCTTGTTTTATAATTCAGAGAATTTAGARCTTTTAAACACTTTTATTGAGATRAAAATTTGCCCAGTGTGATGAATAATTGAACACAAGCACACAGGTACATGTCACTGTGATGGGGAGTCAGGTACATTATCACTGCTCTTCCCAAACACATCTTCCATGGACTGAGACCATTTTGGGGTATTTTGTTGACTGTAATGGTTTAGGCAGTAGAGTTTATTTGGTTACATAACAGACTGAGCATCATTTCTCCTCTTGAGACTTCACTTGTTTCTGCTGCCTCTGGCTGTCTGAGCTTCCAAAAACACATGGCAAAGAATGCAAAAATGGATCAGGCAGTAAAGGTTTTTCTATGTAAAGGGGAAAAATAAAGCTGTAGGTACAGAATATTGAGAAATCTGATAATAAAGCACATTCAAAACAGTGCATTCCTCCTTACCTGCAGAACATTTCAGAAAAACACTTGTTTAATTGTTGCAGTGATAATTAAKGCTGCCATCACCCAGCTCCTTGCCACAGTCTTTCTATGAAGACATTGGTGGGCAYTCTGACAATTATTTCTTAATTTCAAGAGCTGAATTCCAGAACAAATAGCAGTGGAAAATACAACTGCTGAGTTCTCTGAGGAGACTGCAGAAAGGAAGAAATCATCTTGAGAGGGCCGGGAGGAGGGCTCAATGAGACAACTCTGCCATCAGAATTCTTCCTTTTCACTTTCTCCCATCCTTGTTTATTGAGGCTCTTGCCCATCCCAGACCAAGGCAGGATCAGATAGGGGTCAATTTTCCAGGCACTTTTCCAAYAAATCTATTTGGATCTCTTTGCTATCACAGTTGAAAATGCTTTCCAGCAAGCTGTGGTTACGAGAAGGTCACAAAAATATTCACAATTATTTCCAGCAAATGTAGAATCACCCCAATGATTGGGAGGAGTGAACTGTCCCTCAAAGCTGAGAGGGCTCAGGTGTGGTGCAGACCCAGCAGCTGCTTGGACAAATTMTTGACTCTCTCTTTGTTTGCCTGCAGATTTTGCTGCTAAATCACAGTAAAATTGGCTTTTTAATCACAGTAAAATTGCAGTCTGCTTTCAAAACAGAGTACTTTCCAAGGAATTAACACTATGCTAAACTATATTAGAATAACTATGCTCAACCATAATCTATTAAGCATATTTGGAACATTTTTTMTGTATTTTGTTACATTCTTGTCACCTGTTTTACTGCAGGTGGCATATCTGTATTTTTTCCCATGTTTTTGGTCACTTCTAAAAAGACACTTTGTTCTGGGAGCTCATGYTTACTGTTGGATTTAATGCTGACTTTGGAGTATTTGAGTCTGTCTGACTCTGCCTTTATCTCAGAACTCTGYATCCCCATGGATTTCACTGCACTGGCACTGTTTTATTTGCTTAGGGAGACAGTACAGAATCGAATATATTTGCATTTTATCTTTTAACTGTTAGAATCATTGTCCTCATTTTCAGTGTTCGGAGATCACCGTGGCCCTGCCATGGTCCAAAACACAGCTGAAGCTGTAAATGGACACATCATGTTTTCAGAAATTGTGTCTTTAGATACAGAGTGGTCATTTTTCTGTCTTCTGCCTCTTCCACTGCTGTCATTTCTGTGCTTGTGTCCCACAAGAATTCCCTTAACCCTTTCCTGTGCACACAAACTGACTCCATGCAATGGGGAATTATTTACCTTATAAAAGCAYAGATGGCAGCATAAAAGAAAAAATATCTCTTGCACTTCTAAAGAAATCACTCCGTGTTTGCATTATATTTTGTTTTTGCAAATAGTATTTGATGGATTTAATAGAAAATTATCTTGTATTTTTGTGTAGCTGAAGATATCATTAGTAGCTGTAACTTCTTTAATTTTTAAAATTTCATTGCAACCTTGTAAGAAATCCTTGTAAGTTTTATAGAAGATATTAGAGAACTATATCAGTATAATGGGATATTATTGGAGCCTAAGAGGTGTCTGATGTCAGTCAGTGAGTGGAAGCCTTGGCTGTTTTTATTGATCCTGTAACCTTGTATTGTATTTCTGAGGCACAGAGTTATCTTCTCCTGAGGGGAGTTCAGCCACTGCTTATTGCACTCTTAGCTGCACTACAGAGGAAAATTCTGGGTGGAAAGAATACTTTTGATAAATAATTTATACTGTTTTCTTTGAGGTTTGGTTTTTTTATAACTAGTGGARAACTAAGCTGTGCTCTTTTGCTCTGTGTGTATCTCAGCAAAGCGTGAGGAAAGGAGAGTGTAAWGGAGAAGAGCACATAACAGAGTTCAAATCACAGAGCAAACCCTTCACCATACCATGCAAGAATAAAATAAATACAATTTGACTTGAACATTTTCTAGGAGACTAAATAGTTGTCTTCCTGCAAGCAAAAATGTGTCCAGGAGAAATTTATTTTAGCAGGAACGACACCATTACAAAAACCCTGGAAAAATTCAACTTAAATCTAAATGGAATCAATGCCTGTGACATTTTTTTGTGGAAGCAGAATGATGTCCTTCATGGGGTGATGGACTGACAAGGAGCAGATATCATGGAATGCAGTCCAGTTTAAATCACAGATTAAAGCTCTCCTGTTTGTGAAAGCTGTGTGGTGGCATTGCCACTCAGTCTGTTTGCAGCTGATGGCAGATGTGAATCRGGAATGAATTTCCTTCTGTGTTACCCTTCAGGCTCCTCTTCTCTTGTTTTGGTCAGTGGGTTGCTTTTATAGAGCTGTGATTTCTAAAGGTCCTGAAACCCTTCAGCATAAGGTTTTAAACTTTAGTTAACTCAGAGAATTAGCATCTCATTCTCAGGAGTCCTTGGTAATCAAAGTGATCCCCTAATAGACATAATTGGCTGAAAAYATAATGATGTGGATTTTATTTCTGTGTAAGCTGCACACTGTGAACCTCTGGGATTGTGCTTTTACCTGAGGATGACTCTCATGTATTTGCCCAKCCACAGCCTTGTGTAAACAATGGTGTCCCTGTCCTGGGTGACACAATTTGGAGTAATTTTGGGTTTCTGTTCCCCTTTYCCAGGTGCGTTGTGACAGTGAAATACAAGAGCTGCGTCAGTGGCAAAAGAAGCTGAGAGAGGAGAGACACATCACTAGGATAGTGAGAGAATTCTGGGCTAAGCAGGAAGCCAAAGGTGAGAGAATCCAATTGTGGGGGGTTTGGTGTATTGGTTGGGTTGTTTGTTTGTTTGTTTGTTTGTTTGTTTGTTTTTACATTGTGTTGAATTTTTATTTGAGTTGTATTAAAAATAGGCCACACAGCAGGACACAAAATCCCGAGTGGGAAGGTGCTGTCTGCTGGGAATGCTTGGCTTTTTCCTTACAATCACTGCTGATTCTACTTTAGTTGCCTGTGCAGCTCAAAGTGACAAAGGAAAATAGAATAGAGGGCCCAATTCAATAATTTCAGAAGATGATGACAATTTGCTGGCACAATATTTCCCAGGGCAGGATTAGACAAATACCAGCTACTCTTCATGTAAATGTTGATTTTCACCAGATGGGTTGTGGTACAGCTTTTATGAGCTGTGGGATTTCTATGCAGTAAATACTCTSTTGGCATTTTGGTAAAAACTCAGATAGCACGAATAAAGCATTAAGATTCATGGTCAAAGGAAAAAAAAAAGTAACATTTTAAAATAGATACAGCATTTTATTTTGAAATTAACCACACTTAGAAAAATAATGAAGTATGTCTTAAATTTTTATACAACTAATTCTGTTTATCAGATGGTGTAAACAGTGTTGAATCTAACTGTAGGGGATGAATGGTGAGCTGCCAAATAGCTTTTAGAAAATGCTGACTGGAGCAGTAATGTGATTCTATTGACACTACTGGAAAGATCAGCATACCCTCCATGGAAATATCAGCCAGAGACTCASTTAATGTGAGCTGAGAACAGGCAGAGGCTGCTTTGTTGGACTTTCAGCACAATTCTATGTGTACCTTATTGCAGGGGTATGCTTCAGGTAAAAGCAGAATTTTATGGAAGTGTATTTGTGTAATCTAAACCCGTGTGATACTTTAAAAAGTTAGAAGAGATTAGAAATGTAAACTGATTGTAATTAACAAATCCAAACGCATTCTTCATTTATTTTTCTGCTTTCAGAAAGTGTGTTAAAACATGCCCATTCATTTGGAAACAAACAGTTGAGTTTTCATTAGAACAACACCTGAATTAAACACTTGCAGAGGTTTGGTATTTTGTACAAGTGGAGACCCAAAGTCTCATTTTGATGGGTGATGCAGGAAAAGTTCCCATGGCAAAGGCAGC